TATATTCAATGAAAAGAAATAATGTTGATACTTATTTGGTATCATATTTATATTTTTGCACTATATAAACTTGCTATGCATTTTTTATAACTATCTTGGTATGATTGACTCGGTACTATATATGCTATAAGCTGCGGTGTCACGACAGATTTTGCCGATAAACACATTTATATAATCGGTGATTGCGTATATATGCTTTAATCTGAATTTAGTGGTCAATTTGACCAGACGACCTGGGCCAATTTTCTTTTTTTCCCCCTTTTTTCTTTCTTTTTTATAGAAGGAGATGAAGGATTTTTGCAGAAATAACGAGGCAAAAGAAAAGGCCCATTCCATTTGGCGCCAGTCCATCAGTCTTTGTATACTGGCTCTTTGAAAAACAGCTGGGCCTACAAGTGGCTTATCTACGCTCTCGCCTTCTCCCAACCAAAAAAAGGAAGAAAAAGGCCTCGGAGATAGTTTGCCATGCGCGATGAGGCTATAGGCAACTGCCAAAAGCCCGAAAAGATGTTACTCTGGTCCTCTTCTTTTTGTGCCCTCTGCACCCTCTGCGCCGGCACAAAAGACTAACAATAGATTGTATTTTCGATTTTCCCATCTTATTTCCACAATTTTTTTGACTCTTACAAAGGGATGAAGACGGTTGTCTTTCTGATTTTCCCACCTAATTCCACAATTTGTTTTTTTACATAGAATAAAGATGATTGTGAGTTGAATGGTGCAAACAAACAACTCGCGTGAGCTCTCGTGGCCTCACGTAAAGGCTCACTCTTTCTCAATTTACTACTCCCTCCGGCCCAAAAGTTTAAGCTGATAGGGAGAGGTGGACAATTCACTTATATTCCAACACTTCCCCTCACGTGAGGCTCCCTCAGGCCTTAGATGTGGAATAGGAGCGAGCAGTAATTATTTTGTTTAATTGCGCTAACTAGGATTCGAACTCGAGACCTTTGGCTCTGATAATATATTAAGTTGCAAGCACCGACCAGTTCAACCTAAAAACTTAAGTTGATGAGGAGAGATGGACAATTCACTTATATTCCAAGTTCCAACACTATATATATATATACATCTCGCACCAACAAACCCAACAAACCACAAAAAGAGAAGCTTTCAAAAATGGCATCCAACAAGATGGTCCTCTTCATGGCGGTGCTGCTGCTCGTCGTGCTCGCGCTGATGGCTGCCCTTCCGGCGGCGGCTGCGGAGACCTGCAAGGAGAGGTGTGAGGCCGGTGGGGGCTCCCTTAACCCCTTTTACAGCAAAGAGGCGTGCCTAAAGGCGTGCTAAGCCGCCGAGCAGGGATAGCAAACTTGACATCCCATACATGCTAGCTCGTACCTGCTGATATCTGCCTATCATTATATCAATATGCATCTCATGTCTGTTTGTTATTTGGTTTCCCCTATTTGTTTGGGGCCCGACAAAGTTCGACGAGCTAGGTGTCACCCATGGTCCTCCATGGATTGGATCCACCGATCGATGGTTCTGTCATAATGTAGTCGGTACACACTCAAGATCGATGCTTGTTATTTTATTTGTATTATTCCACATTATAAGAAATAAAAAGGCATGCAATTGATCTAAATTTATTTCTGTGTCATGATTATTGCTCTTCGGCCCCATGCATGCGTGGTTTATTTTTCTGTAAAAAACTAAATGAAAGAACAACAAATATGAAATCTCTGAGTCCATGCATGCATTTCGAATCACCACATCATTGGAGCCACGCCAGAAGGTCGGAGTTCGGAGGTGATGGAGTATGGAAGCTACATTCTCCTCCATCCCAAAATATAAGTGCACATCTCGCACTTTAAAAAGTCAATCTTATGTTTGACTAGATTTATTGAAAATACATGACGTGTTTAGTCTAATGATGTGTATTTGATATCATAAGCATACCTTTTGTATATGTTTGGTCAAACTGGTTGACTCCTTAAAATGTGAGCTGCGTATTTATTTTGGGACAACGAAGTAAGGAAGTACAATGCACTGACCGTAGTTGCGTCTCGCCAGTCCAAACCTATCCCGTTGTCCAGCAGGCTCGGGACAGGGCACAAGTCATTTCAACCTGTCTCTTTCTTACCTAAATCTAAGGAAAATGCAATATCCATAATATTTTTATCATGAAAATTAAAAGAGAATGGAGGTAGTATTTGGTATTGTATTTATATTTTTGTACTATATAAACTTGGTAAGCATTGACTCGGTACTATGCTATAAGCTGAGCAGTGGCGGTCTCATGGAGGATTTTGCTACGATTGCGTACGGGCCAATTTCCTTTTTTTCTTTTTCTTTTTCTTTTCTATAGAAACGAGATGAAGGAATTTTGTAGAGATAACGAGGCCAAAGAAAATGTCCGTTCCATTTGGCGCCGGTCCATCAGCGTCTGTATACTGCCTCTTCCAAAAACAGCTGGGCCTACAAGTGGCTTATCTACGCTCTGGTCTTATCCCAACAGAAATTAAAAGAAGAAAAAGGCCCCGAGCCAGTGAGCCATGGGTGGGGAGGCTACAGCCAAAAGGATGTCTCCTCAAGTCCTCTTCTTTTTCTGCCCTCCGCATAGCTCCCTGCATGGGCTCAAAAGGCAACAATAGATTGTATTTTCGATTTTCTCATCTTATTTCAACAATTATTTAGTTTTTACAAAGAATGAAGACGTTGTTTCTGATTTTCCCAACTATTTCCACAATTTGATTTTCTAACATAGAATGAAGATGGTTGTCACTTGAATGGTGCAAACAAACAACTAGCACAATGGTCACAACTGGTCTATGTCCTTGTTTTGAAACAATTTAAATCCAGCATACGGTTAAAAGAAGCGAAAAGGCCTTCAATCATGGGCAAATTTCTTGGGAAGCCATTAATTCTGAAATGTGGAACATATGGTTAACTGAACTAGACCTTAGCAACCAGAAATGTGGAGCATGGCCATGTTTCTTGTTCCGAAAACGTCATTCCGAGAACATTTATGTTTTCACAGTACAATTATATTACAAGTATATATAGCTCCACATTCCCGTTCATGAAACTGAGGTTCTGGGCTGCTTCTCGTGGCCACATGGCCCCCAAAAATGAAATTGCACCCGTTACCCTAAAAAAATACCATCCACTTACCCAGCTCCATATCCCCCCTACCGAACTGTTCTCGCCCATGCATCCTTATTCCGCGAGTTATGAACAGACACCAACTAGGAGACGAAGGCGATTAGGGTTTGACCCTACATAATAGACGACTTTGAAAAGTAGATCCACTTGTTTGGGAAGGGATCCTTAGATTCCTATGATTGAATGCATTTCAGCCAACAAAAGGTTGATGGGCAGAGTACTCTTGTATGCCAAGGTCATTTTTCTCATCGCCATTTGGCAGAACTCTTAAATTTTAGCTTGGGATAGTTGCTATGCAAAACGGCCTTTTTCTGTTATCTCTCTTCTCTCTCTCTCTCTCTCTCTCTCTCTCTCTCTCTCTCTCTACACACACACACACACACACATATGTTGCATTGTCACTGACGTATATACCAGTGCACATGCCCTTTAGCCTAACCCATTGGGTGCCGCCCGTGAAAGAAGGCAACTCCAACTCTGGCCACACGCCCTTGCATACGTATCAGTTTGCCTACTTGACTGCAACAGCACTCAAGGAATAAACAAAGACGCATGGCTCAATATCTTTGGTCCAAGTCTTGTCCAAATGTGCTAAAGGGCGAGGCGTCGTCCAGTTGGCGCATGCATCTCTAGTTCTCTAGCAGTAGTTGCCACTAGGGGTTAGTTTGCTCACGGTCATCTCTCATATTTCTAATGATTTTCAGAAGAGAAGGAACAATTTTGCTGCTATATCGGCCTGAGTGAAAATCTTTTATCCCATATATCTTTTTTTTTGCCTTTTCTTTACTTTCTCTCTTTTTCTTGTAAATACCATGCATGGAGGGGAATATAACTAAGATTCAAACGGATATCTTCTTTCCCACACTCCAATTTAGTTATTGTCAACTTATACTGGATTTACAACAACTTATACTAGAGTTTCAATGATTATTTTAGAGCAATATATAGGTAGAATTGGTGTAACTAATAATTCGAGTGAAAAATGTTCTCTCACACACCCCAATTTTAGTTAGTGTGAACTTATGCTGGATTTACTACACTCGATTTGCACTAGAGTTACCGTAATTATTTTGATGTAATTTCTACTCCCTCCATCCCAAATTATAAGACGTTTGACTTTTTTGATCTCAAGTTTGACCACTCGTCTTATTCAAAAAATTTGTGTAAATATAGTCAAATTTAAGTCATTCTTGAAGAACTTTTATTAATAAACCAAGCCATGACAAAAGAAGTGATATTTTGCACAAAATTTTGAATAAGACGAGTGGTCAAACTTGGTGTAAAAAAAATCAAACGTCTTATAATTTGGGATGGATTGAGTAGATAGAATTGATGTATCTAAAAATTCGAGTGTGGAGAAGGGATATTCCACTTGACACGTTTAATCTGAGTGTGGAACTCCTCTAAAAAACATCTGAATTTTTCTGATAACATACTCATGAAATTCAGGCGTAGCAGGAAATTTTTTGACCCAGGTACGAAAATTCAGGTGTGCAGGAGGAAAGTTTTATCCGGACACGGAATAGACAAGCCCAAGAGAAATAAAGGACACATTTTGTGGATATCTATATATGTTTATATTTGAACAGAACGTGCATGTATATATATGCACAACGGATGAGCATGTTTCTGCACCACTGGCATTCCTTGAGACATGTGAGTAGAATATTCGAAACCCTGATCATTAGCTTGGTATTAGTTCCCCGGCATCCCAAGCTCCAAATCACCAATACATATAGGGCCCAAACGGCACAATGAACTGAAAACACGCACGAACTAGCGCTCCTCCTTCCTCCCTTCATCGACCACCGACACCAAGGGCATCAAGCAGCGAGAGGCGGCACGCGGCAGCAAGCTCCCCCTCTCCGGCCGGCTCCTGTGTCCAGTCCACGATGCCCCAAGGCGAGAGGCGGTGCTGCGGAGGATTCTGTGCGCTCCTCGTCACCGCCGGCCTCGTCGTGCTCATCTACTGGGCCATCTTCCAGCCCCACCACATCCGCGCCACCGTCGACTCCGCCGTCCTCTCCAACCTCACCGTCTCCAACTCCAACGCCTCCTCAGCCGCCGCCGCGGCGGTCTCCTACGACCTCACCGTCAGCCTCCGGCTCTACAACCCCAGCGTCCGCGTCAACATCTACTACGACGCCATCGACGCCGAGCTCCGCTTCCGCGACGCCGTCGTCGGCCCGGCCGCCAACGACACCTCCCCGTCCGTGTTCTACCAGCGCAGGAAGACCAGCGAGGTCGTGAAGATGGAGTTCGACTACTGGAGGCCGGGCGGCGGCGGCGGAGTCACCGTCGGCAGCGACGTCGCCCGGGAGCTGGTGAAGGAGACCAGGAGCGGGGGGGCCGTGAGCTTGGAGCTGGACGTGGACGTGCGCGTGAGGTACGTGTTCAGGATGTTCAAGCTGCGCCTGAAGCCGAGGATACGGTGCTCGCTCAGCATTCCGGTCAAGACGGAGGGCCGGCACCGTGGCTTCGGTGGCGTTGTTGCCTCCGGCGACCGGTGCAGTGTCAAGTACTGACGGTGATGATTATACTAAGAGTAGTGTGCTTTGCTGCTTTACTGTTTGGAGACTAACTATTGTGGTGTGTTCCATTCGATTCATGTAAAAGTTTGTTATGAATTGTTGGGTTATTGGTACAGATCACAACTGTACGTACGACGGTACATGTAACAATGCTATTCTTGAACCTTTATTCTGCTGTATGTATGTTATACCATTGGATTATTTATCAAGGAGTTCCTATAAATCACATGGATTTATATTTTTTTTGAGATAATATAGAAAAAAAAATACTTTCGGCTTCAGCCTCCTATTTGAGATTTGAGAAGACTTCGTGACAGAGTGGATGGCTCATTGGTGGGGTTTACTCGGTGAAGCACCCACGGCCTAGGTTCAAGCCCCGCTCCACGCAGACTTTGCATCGGAATTTCTTTCCATTTTTTTGTAGCCTCAAGCGCGGATGTTCTACAATGGTCAAGTTGTCGTATGTCTTTAGGTATAGGTATTCGTCTAGCTTGCACACAGTGTGTGTTGTGAGTTTGTGCTTAAGTTCGCATACTACAACCTGTACCTGAAGTATTACCTCTAAGAGAGGATGAATTAGCTAGGTCGCTTAATATTAGGTTTCAATTCTATTAACTAAGCTAGAGAACTAGACTAGGAAGGTAAAACACACAAGTAAATGCAGAAATGTAAATAAGTTAGAGACGCGAACTCTTCCACTACAATATTTTGCCCGAGGTCAGTAGCGGAGCGTGACTGTAAATCAAGGGGGGGGGGGCTAATTCAGTGCCAAATTTTTATAGGAAGCACCGTGGCTCGTGAGTTTTAGAACTAATATTTTCTAGCACCAGTATATCTCTCATCCTCTCAGTTGGCGCACGGCAACTGGTGAGATGTCACGGCTCATTGCGGCCTGTGTTTTGCGCAGCAGTGAGTAGCTGCCAGGATTGTCCACACTTGTTGTATCCTTTTTTTTTATAAGAGTCTGCACTTGAGAACTCTACTACTGAGTACAAAAGGCTAGGTAGGCCTGGTGATAAAACAGACCATGTATGATTCATTGCCTCCAACATGTACTAGTTTAGTATGCTACTCCTAGTGTGACACGCTTTTAGTATCTAATCTTATCAAACCTATAGCTGGGAGCTATAGCTAGTCCTGCATAGTTCAGAGTTTTTTTCTTGAAATGGGAGTTCAGAGTTCAGTCGCAGGCAAGCAGGGGCCAGAGCCCACTATTGCCTCCACTGAGCTCCGCCCCTGCCCGAGGTACTGGAAAGCTTACACTTTCCACTAATCCTAGTTGGAGCCCCCCGCAAGGCTGCCGTTTGCGGTCGGGTAATTCCGCAGATAGCAGCTCATAGGCCTTCCCAATACACACGTGGGTCTTATAGGGCTTTCTAACACACACGTGTGTCTCCACTAGGTGAGTTTTGGCCGGAATGTCAAGAGCTTCATGTCCCTCATACACCACCGTGCCTACAATTAACCACTCCACAAACTCGATTGGAGGGTCTCGCAAGACTTACAAGCCCTGAAGAGTACAAAACTTAGTACGAGCAAGCACCGATAGCAAGGAGGTATACGAACCTCACTAAACACTAGGCCTCAACCTAGAGCAAGCTCTAATATGCAGCCTCTAACTAGCCTAAGAACTAAAGCTAGCAGTTTTCTAATCGCCTAATCTTCTCTTTAGCACATATGGTCTCTATCTCACAAATCTATGAGCCTCAACTCAACTATAGCTTCCTCACACTCCAAATAGCCGACCAAAGGGATATATATATATAGCCCCACAAGCACCAACTAGCTGTTGAGAGCTCGGGTGCATCGGATAGCTCCGGTGACCACACCTTAGAAATCTGGTGCCCTCTGTGCATGTTTAGGAATTGCAACCCTCTCTTGATTGAAACTCTAGTGTATTTTCCGCTGCACACACCGGAGAAACCCAGTGCACTGTTTTGCCCTTCATAGGTAGCACATAAGCTCCAGTGCTTTATTCGGTGCATGCACCACAGAGCTCAAGTGCTCTCTTCTGCTTCCTCCGCCATGCCACTATTGTGAATCTTCGGTGATCACTCCGGTGGCCATATCAGAAGCATGCCATTGCTGCTTCCTCTGCCTACCGTGAATCTCTAGTGACACCATCTGAGAGCTTTGGTGCTCCTCAGCTGAGTGCATTTCTTCATGTCCAATTTTCACTTGGCTTCACTTATATGATGGTATCTTTAGCTTCTTTCTTGTTTTATATGGTCTTCAGTGGTACCCTTTGATCTTCATTTGATGTGTTGATTCATTGATCATCACCGTAGCCTAGCTCAACTCGTCTTTGCATCCTTAGGCATAGTGTACCTTGTATACTAACAAGTTAGTCCTAGGTCCTTGCTATAGGGTCTATGATTTTTACGATCTCCTCCTTTTTAGTGATCGATGACAACACAACCAAACTTAAACTACTTGCTTGTATGCAATACAAGAGCAAGATCATATGATGTTAAAAGAAATATGCATGATGCTAAAGAAAACTGTACCTTGTTCTTATCATTTTTACAATTGTCCCCTTTTATGCAGTTATTATGGATATAAGCCTCCCCATTACTCCACAATCCACCTTTGGTAATTTTGGTATTTATTGTTGATTTGGTTCACGTCTTCTCCCCCTTTGAAACCAAACAAAAAAAAAGATATTAGTGTGACAAGGCTGGGGAAATCATAATGATCCTTTAGGTGTGTGGATGGGATCTGTCCATGCTCATTGTTCTTGGCCTTAAGTTTTTGTTCTTGCCCTCTGTTCTAATCACACAAACGTAGGATTTTGAAATGTGAGGATCGCTGGTTTACAACATGAACATGGTCCTTAAGTATTAATTGATGAATTTATGTGATTAAGGCCACAATGCTACAACTCAGGGTGGGCATTCGGTCAAGACCGGAAATTCGGTTCGGTCTCTTCGTGTTTTAAAAAAGTTTGGTCTTTGCAAATCGAGAACCGAAATTAGCATGAAAAAATCGGACCCCCGCCTTCCGTTCCGCCACGCCGCCCAGCCGCCCGCGTTCCAGCCAGGACGCGGAAATGCTACTGCCGCGCACGGACGGTGATGTTGCCCAGCCACCGCCAGGCCGCCACGCTCACGCACACACCTCGGCAAGACACGGTCTCGTCGGCTCACCTTGCTCACACGTTCCGCCGGTAGCTGCGTCTGCGTGCCTGCTCACCTCGCGCGCGAGCGGAATTTCACGCCAATTCACGTCCGGTGCGTTGCGTTGCCAGCTCTGCCGACGCGGCTGCTTGCCATACACCGCGTAGACCCGGACTCCGTCGGTCTTCTGCTCCAAAATGAAATCATCACTGTGACCCAAACAGACGTCCCAATCACTCGCGAAAAGCCACACCAGCTTTGCCTTGAGCCTTCAAGGAATATCAGCCTGTTCGCTTGCTCGTAAACGATTGTAAATTTCTAGCTTGAAACATTGTTTTTCTCTCACACCAAACCAGCCAACAGTAAATAATCCACGATACGATACGACCTCCCGAACAGCCCGTATATACACAAAGACCTGACACAGTCCGGGTCTTTATGCATGCCCAAGAGAAGAGGTTTCGCCGGCCTGGTGGTGTGAACGCGGTCTCGAGGCAGGCAATGCAAGAAACACGTTCCTCCAATAAGCAATAGACGGTAGCAACGGTTGGTCATGGCCAATTATTATTACTATTATTCATTAAATAATGGACCCAATCGAGCAAGAAGGATGCAGCTCAACTCCGAAATGCTAGGTAAACACTACAACCAGCAGGTGGTAAAATCAGAAGAAAACAGAGGAAATCAAGTAGTAGTACCTATAAAGCACCAATATCTCTCCGTTTCATAATATGTCCGGTTAATTAAAATTTCAATTGAACTATAGCCAGTTCCAAAAAATACTAAGTTCGGTTGAATGGATTATTATGAGCAACTTGCCAATAAAGCGTCTCTGTCTACCTAGCAAATGCGATATATACTAATGTTACCAAGGATTGGTCAAGGTCAATTGATAATGAATACCATGGAATCCATCCTGAGATCCATCAGCTAATTAACAAAAGGGCCTTAAATTTAACCTAAAAAGGCTAACCTTACATCGCAGAGTACCACCTAAACTCTCAAGGGATGACACTGTCAGTATCATAAACATAACCTTTTCAAGGGCCAAGATTTCTCTTTGTCGCAAAAAAAAAAAAAAAAAAATCTAGATGGGCCGGGTGTGCAGCGGCAACATGTTCAGGATTGCTATCCACAAGGTACTATACACAAAGAGAAAAAATATTTACATTTCACAGCCTACACTAGCAAATGCATATGATGTCTTGAACACATACACAATCTCCAATATGCAATTTGACCACTTCTTTTTTATCTGAAAATAACGAAACTACTCATTATTGGAACATATTTTCTATAACCCGATCCAAATAATCCATCTTAAATCCATGCCCAATTTCAATGTCTTAGATTTTTAAAACATCCTGCATTAAACATATGAAAATATCTGTTTTGAAAACTCCTTTTAATACTCTACCAATCCTATTGCCCAATACTCGTTCCATTTCACATTGTAAGTCTTTTTGTTTTCTCCTAAATTAAACTTCTCTAAGTTTGATCAAAACTTTTTAGAGATGTTGATTTTTATAAACCAAATAATTGCACTATCAATGAGTATTTTAAGTTTGATTTAATAAAACCATTGGAGTACTAGACGGGGAGGAGTAGTACGTTCATGTGTACGACTAGCATTTTGTGTGGCAGTGTGGCACGTCGTTATTAGAATATTCGGAACCATCACCATTAGCAATAGCTTGGTATTAATTCACCAGCATCGCAGCTCCAAAACACACACAAACTAGCTCCTCCCATCTCCTCTGTCCTCCCTTCCCCCCAATTGACCAACCAACGAGGCGGCAGCAAAGTCTTCTGTCCACCATGGCCAGCAAACAGGGCAGCGGCAGCGGGGGAAACCAGAGCTGCTGCTGTGGAAAAGGCTTCTGCGGGTTCCTCTTCACCGTAGGCCTCTTCGTGCTCATCTACTGGGCCATCTTCCAGCCCCACCACATCCGCGCCACAGTCGACTCCGCCACCCTCTCCAACCTCACCGTCTCCAACTCCAACGCCTCCTCGGTTGCTGAGGTTTCCTACAACCTCGCCGTCAACCTCAACCTCTACAACCCCAGCGTGCGCGTCAACATCTACTACGACACCATCGACGCCGAGCTCCGCTTCCGCGACGCTGTCCTTGGCCCGGCCGCCAACGGCACCTCCCCCTCCGAGTTCTACCAGCGCAGAAAGGCCAGCGACGGCGTGAAGCTGGAGTTCGACTACGGGAGGCCGGGCGTCGGTGTCTCTGTCGACGTCGCCGGGGAGCTGCAGAAGGAGATGAGTAGCGAGGCGCCGGTGGTGCGCCTGGAGCTGGACGTGTACGTGCGGGTCAGGTACGTGTTCAGGATCTTCAAGCTGCGGCAGAAGCCAAGGATATGGTGCTCGCTGAGCATTCCAGTGAAGGCGGAAGGTCCGGGCCCCGCCGTCGGTGGCGCTGTTGCCTCCGGCGAGCGGTGCAGGGTCAAGTACTGATGACTAATGCTGGTTGATTCTGAGATTGTCATTTTTGGAACGCGTGTGCAGTGTGCTGCTTCAATTTCTTGTTCAGAGATTAGTGTGTGCCATTATCATGTTACTAGTTCGTGCAAAGGTTGCTATTGTTTGGCCTTGTGGGGCCCACACTATTCCTGAACCATTTCTCTGCTAGACTAGATAGAGTATTGCATTGAGATCATTCATCTGGGAGTTATAACGCTTCTGTTTCGCAGAATATAAATTTTTTTTTGTTATTACTATAGAAAGTTCACCACCGCCGGTTACAAACCCCACTTCACCGACGGTTTTGACCGCCATTGGTGAAAGCCGTTGATGATAGTCATTGTTGATCACCGCTGGTTTCGAACCGTTGGTGGCATTGTTCATCACCGCCTGACCAGCATTCAATCCGGCGGTGTTGTTGTTATTATCACTGGTGCATCGGTGTTCAATCCAGCAGTGATGTGGAGATATCAATACCGGTCTAGCGTACCTTCCAGCAGTCATGATATAGACATCAACGTTGGACTAGCATAAAATATTCAGCGGTGATGGGGGAGACATCAGTGCCGGTCCAGCGTGCCATCCAGCGGTGATGATGGAGGCATCAACGCTGATGGATGGTGATACTGTATACATCAACGCCGAACAGGGTACCATCCGGCGGTGACGATGGATACATCAACGCGAACGGGTGTACCATAAGGCGGTGATGATGGAGACGTCAACGTCGGTCCCGCATTCCATCCGACGGTGATGTAGGTACTAGCGCAACCGGTCGGTGTTCCATCCGGCGGTAATAAGGACAACATCACCGCCGCCATTGCATTTGTTCCTGCAGTAATAACTTTCCATTACTGTCGGCATTGGCACTATACATCATTGTTCATAATACAATGTAATAATAATATAGAAACTTTCATGGCTTAAATCGCCAGACAATGTGTTGTAGCCAAACATACATCACCACCAAGACACAAATCCATACAACAAATCCAACCACAACGACATATGTAGTTTTCATAACACAAACAAACATCATATAGTCCATAATGAAACCAGCATTACAAGGTGAAGAACATTAGCACCTTGATTAGATAAGGTGACGGTCTCTATCCGGACTTATTAGGACTTGGTCCATAATGAAACCGGCAGGCTCTTCTTGCAACCCAGATATCTCCAAATCGGTCAGCTCCGCTATAGATGACACTAGTGTCTACAACACAAGAGAAAGGTGAAAACCACAGTTAAGACATGCTTTGGTATACACTCTAATTAGGTCTCTATGTCATCAATTGACTAAAGGGGCCGAGGGGACAACATGTGAGCCGGAGTAGACATCTTGGATGAGGCTGCGCATGTAATGGATGACATACAACACACATTGATCAATGCCCATGGGCTGCATTGCGATCGAATCAGCCTCGAGTACTTTGAACCCAAAATTCCAATACGGACGGTGTTTCTTGCTCTTTTTCTTGTACTTGTCAAAGGACCTATGTGACAAGTTCATGACAGTGACATATGATGATCAAAGCTAACTAAAAAATAATCTTATCATTAAGAATGTAAGAGTAGTAGTTTGTCTTACTTGTTCAGTGTCAATGAAGGGTTGGATATTCTCTCGTGGGCTCCTTTGAGAGTCAAAAACAGTGAGAGTGCATATCTCTAGGTTGATGTCAAGGAGGACATAATGGTTGCTGCATTCACAACGCCCCGCTGCCAATTAGGCTCAGCCCTGAAATATGTAATGGAGTAGAAAATTAGGCATTTACAACACACTTACTTGCACCACCTGTGAGGCATCCAATTGCGTAATTAGGCTTCGTCTCCTCCTAATTTTTAATTGCTTGATTTTGTTAAGTTTAATGGGGAGGATAGTAGGAGCACTTGGGAGCATATAAGTCATTATTTAGCTCAATTGGGAGAAGCTAGTTCGGTTGATGCTTTAAAAGTTCGCATGTTTCCATTGTCTTTAACTGGAACGGCTTTTTCTTGGTTTGCATCTTTGTCTCCTGATCCAATTAATTCTTGGTATGATTTGGAGAAGAAATTTCATGAGCACTTCTTTTCTGGTTCTAATGAGCTTAAACTTTCTTACTTGACATTGGTTAAGCAACAACATGATGAATCCATTGTTGATTACATAAAAAGGTTTAAAAGACACCAAAAATCAATGCTTCAATGTTTTTATTGCTAAAAAGGATTTAGCCGACTTGGCTCTTAATGGTTTGTACTCTCATTTTAAAGAAAAGCTTGAGGGTTTTGATCAGTTTCTTTAGCATGAATCAAGTCGAGCGTCGGACGTTGAAAGCTGAAGTAAAGAACCTAAAGAGCATCATAAACAACATCGTCCTAATATGCCTGCCATAGAATACTAATCCAATAGTTTGGATGATGATTGTAATGAATGTTATCATGCTGAATTCACATGGCCAACAACTTCTAATGTGTTTTTTGAAGGCAAGCTTCTAATATGTTATGGTTCCATCTCTTAAGCCGATTCAAAAGAATTAAAAAGATGACACGAAATTTACTTTGATCTAGCTAAGTGTGATTGTGTTTGATGAATTGCTTAGAAACAGATATAATTGACTCATCCTTTGCCATCTCCCGAAGAATTAAAAAGAAGAGCTTATTGTAAATGGCATTCTGGTTCTCATGCCACTAATGATTGTAATGTTTTTCGTCGGTGGGTCCAATCGTTGTCAACGAGGGTTGATTGAGTCTTGGTGAAATGCAAATCGACAAAGCCCACTTCCTAGTGAATGTGCTTGAGTGCAACAAACCAACCATCTTGGTTTGGCCGGAGCAAGCTAAATTCACTGTGAGAAACAGTGTGGTTATTGGTGAACCAAGAAAATATGAGAAGAGGTGGTGAAAGGCCCTAGTTTGGTTTTGGTACTTGAGTGACAACCTAGGTGGACTAACATGTGTTTGATGTGATATACACATGTGTTTAGTCTATAGGTACACTAGTGGAGAAGTGCTTGACCGGTTTAGGACAGATGGCTATACTATTAAGAGGGAAAACTTGTTTGCATATCGGTCATTGAGCGATCTAACTTTGCATGTGTTCCTAGGATCGGGTGGCGGTTGAAAATGAGTTTGAAAATCTTTGCAACATGATTTGTGAAAATTCTAACATGGACTTAAGGTGGTGGTTGTCTCGTGGGACAACACTTGAGGTTAGCATGTTTTCAAAGGTTAGTGAAACTTCTTGAGAATGGTTGATACCGTTGGAGAAGGCTGTGGTGCAAAAGGCGACGGAGACAGCTTTGGTGGGCTGCTGCTGGTAGCCTAGCAGTCCAACAGCTAGGTAGGCTGGTGGAACCGCCAGGCACTGGTGTGACCGGTACTAGCATCCAGAGTGGCGCGTGGGGTGCTGGCCATTGGATGGCCCGGCTGGCTAGGCGGTTGGACCATGACGCCGGGCAGTTGGACCACCAATTGGGCTAGAGCACAGGAGTAGGCCGTTTGAAGTTTGTGGCCGCACATGTGTGTCTGGTGTGCACCAGATGGAGGGCCACCAGACAAGAGGTCTAGAGGCCAAGTTTTGGCGCTTGTTGGGTCGCAAGCCCACCGGACATGTCCGGAGTTTGGGCTGGATGCATTCGACTATTGGCGGGCTGACTTTGCCTAGCGGTGGGAGCGCTGTTATGGCCAGTGTGAGCGCTAGGATGAGAGACTAATGCGTGGGATCAGCTATGTTAGGTAGACATTAGGGCTGGCCCGATGACCATTGTAGCCACTGGCGGTCTCCAACGGACCAAGAACTAGACCAGATACAGTCTCCAATGGTAGGCAATGGCTAGTTTAATGGCTAGCTTCAAGAAAGGCACTGGCACTGGCACAATGGCTAGCATGTTCCAACGGTTAGTTTTGGTTTGGGGGATATATATACCCCTTGTCCAACCATTTGAGGTGTGTGGGAGTTGAGAAACATACCAAGGGAGTTGAGGCTCCACTCTACTGCTCTCCACATGCATAGTGCTTAGTGAAACACTTAGTGATTAGTGTAGGTGCTTTACAAAGTGCTTAGACTAGTTAGACCACCACTATTGTACTTGCTCTAGGTTTAGGCCTAGTGTTTAGTGATGTTTGCATACCTCTTACTCCTATAGTGCTTGTGCACACTGTTGCTATACTCGGAGGGGCTTGTAGTCTTGCGAGATCACACCAACCACTTTGTGGTGCAGCCGCCATCGTGTACAAGAGGGAATGAGGCCCATGGTAGTTCGGTTGGAAGCTTGATAGTGAAGACGGTGGGGAGCTGTCCGAGACAGGTAATCTCGTAGACCCACTTGCATGTGGGGAAGGGCCCGAGGCTATCCATAGAGTTACCTAATCGGAAGCTTGGCCCTTGCTAGGGCATCCTTGTGAGGGGCTCCAACGAGGACTAGGGGGAAGCATGAGCTTCTCGATACCTCTGTAAAAATACTGGTGTCATCGTACAAGAGTTTGCATCTCTATCTCTCCATACATACAGGAAGCTTGGCCCTTCCGCTTTTAGTTTATGTACCTTGGTTCTATGTTTTACTTATGTCGGGTTCATAAACCCGGGGTCCCTAATGGGCCTGTTTCCCAGCAAAAAGCTTGGCCCAGCAGACGACGTTGTGGACGACGTGCAACTTCAAGGCCGGCCCAGATACCTAACGATAGGCCGGAAGAGTGATCCAGTCTCCAATCAGAAGGCCTCCGACTCTGACCCGACTCTCTGACTGAAAGGCCTAGCCATAGAGGGCGACGCTCACCTCCGACTCTGACCCGCCTCTCCGACCGGAAGGCTTGGCCAAGGAGGGGCGACACTCGCTTTCGACTCCGACCCGTGTCTCCGACTGGGAACACACCAAACCTCTGCCTGAGGCGACTGGGAACAACCGAACGGGGATGCCCGCTCGGTGAGGACCCAAGAAATCAGGCAGAGCTGATAAGGTAAGGCACACAAGTCAACCGCAATACCGAGGACCGTACCCTACACACCTGTAGGACAGTAC